TGTAGTAATACTCAATTAGAATTTTAAAATTTTCAATCTTAAATCGTGGATCACAAATAATACCTATTTTATAAATATCAGGAATGTACAAATAATAAGTACACCATTTATCTCTCATAGGAGAGACATAAGGGTACAAATCTGGATCAGCCATACTTTCACGAAAACATGTTGCGATTGTAATGCACTCTTTAAAAAATGTATTTGTAGTTGGTTGGTAAACATGGGAAAAAGTAAGAGTTGCGTTATTAAAAACTTCTAATACGGCATTCAATTTTTCAACAATAACAAATTCAAAAGGATTAATGATTATACGAAGTTCATCCCTAAAAAATTCAGCAAGTTCCTCTTTATATCTTAGGATCTGTGCAATCAATTTGTAAGTACTATTCCATCTAATGTTGATATCTCTGGCAAAACTTATTTCTTTTTTACTTTTAGACTTACAAAACATCTTCCAGGATCTCGAAATAAGACGAGCCCCCCAAATTTTTTTAATTCCTTCTTTAATATTTGTCAAAACTCCGCCCATAGCTTGTAGTCCCTGTTGAACACATAAATTTAAAACATGGCAGACACACCGTTGATGCAGAAATCTACCCATAGTCGTAGACGGTGGGCAAATTTCTCTAAGTCTAGGAATAGCAGCAGTATTATTAACAGCATTATCAAAACCAAATGAAAAAACTTTTTCAGATAAGTTATATTCCCGCAGAATACTCTGAAGCAATTGGAAAATATTTTCAGCAGTATGCTGATCATTAAAATCACGAAATGCAAGAACACGTTTATGCATAATCCAATCACTATCTATCCAATGACAAGTAACACCCATATAAGACAAATTATGATAAGTTTCACCCCAAATATCAGAACAAATAGCAACACGAGAATTAAAATTGAGAAAAAAATTTGCCAAATTAATTTTTTCCATTTTATACTGGCGAATAATTTCTCGTTTAAGTGTTTTTCTTGAAAACCTCGTGCTTGAGGGTTTAATGCCTGTTGACAATAATCAATAAAACCAAGTTTTTCAGAAAACATGTATGGAAAATTTTCTTCACAAATCATTTCGGCCATTTTTTGCCTATTTTGCTCGTCGCTATAAGCAAAAAGGTCGCCCTTACCTCTGTTAGCAAACCGAGAAATTTGGGTTTGCACTTCTTGTCGTCCCTTTTTTTTTGGCCTCGTATTTGGCGTACTCCACGGGATGCCTCAACCTTAGGTCTTTTTCCGGACCGCCATAACCGCCGGAAACTCCCATTTTTATGACGGTCCCACAATGTTTACAAGTTCCATAATTTATGCCTTCTTTTGTGTCTTTGTCAAAATGATAAACAAATAAATCTGATTTATATTTTTTTTTTACCTTTGTCCGGACCTCGAGAGGTCTCGGGCTCACCTGCCTCCACGTCGACGTCGTTGCTTTGCGGTGTAGGCTCATCGTCCCCGTCAAGATTATCCAGTCCTGCTTCATCAACATCCTCGAATAGACTATCAAGAGTGGGGAGATTCGCGTCTCCTCTACCAGAATAAATCTGGTTGAATTCTTCATCTGTCATAGCGTCCCCGATTAAATAATCTGGGACAGTAGGAAATGAAGAGACGGAGTGTCTTCCTCGAGAATCGCGTCCGCGTGAGGTCGAACCGTCGGAGGTGGCTTTAGCTTTGCCTTTAGTCAATCTTCGGTTCACGTCGCCCATATCCACGGACCATCTACCGGACTCCCTCGACATTTTAATATATTTTTTTTATATTAAAATAATATATTACTTTTGGAAAAATTAAAAAAATTTCGAAATTTTATATATTAAAATTTTGAAAATTTCAAAAAATAAAGAATATATATTTAAATTATTTAAAGATTAAAGAATATATTTAAAAATTAATAATATTTAAAATTTTGAAAATTTTTAAAAAATTTCGAAATTTTATATATTAAAATTTTGAAAATTTCAAAATTTTAATGTATAAAATTTTTATATTATTATATGAATATTAAATGTATAAAAATTAAAAAGAGATAATAAGATTGAGAGATTGATAAATTGAGAGAATGAGAGAATGAGAGATGGATTGAGAAATTGAGTGATTTTTTATGTAAAAAATGTGAGAATTTATAGATAGTTTCTTCCCCCCCTCCCCCCTCCCCCCCTCCCCTCTTCCTCTCCCCCACCTCAACGGCTAAATAGCCGTTTGAGGTGTGCC